GTAGAGACTCTGAGTAGACAGATGGATATTGGCGTCTGGAGTTCAGGGAAGATGCAGGCTGAAAATATAAATATAGGGGGGTTCAGTGAATGTATTTTAAAGCCACGAGACTGGATGAGATCACCAAGAGAATGAGTGTATCAAGAAAGGAGAAGTGGTCAGAAGACTAAGCGTCAGGCATTATAATCTTAAGTGACCAGGGAGACGAGGAGGACACTGAAAGGAGTAGCCAGTGAGAAGAGAAGAGCCAAGAGAGTCGGGTATCCTGGAAGCCAAGTGAAGAAAGCGTCCCAAGGAGGAGTAAGGGGTCAATTATGCCAAAAGCTGCCTTCTGGTCAAGTAGGATGAGGACTGAGAACTGACCACTGGAATTAGCAATGTGGATGCCAATGTTTAATATGTTAAGAGCAATTTTGGCAGAGCAGTGGAGTGAAAGCCTGATTGGAGTGGGTTCAAGAGAGAATAGGAGAGGAATTGGAGATTGCAGGTATCGACAAAAATTTTGAAATTTCTGTGGCAAAGCAAGCAGAGAAATGAGGCAGTAGCTGTAGGGTAAATATGGGATCAAGAGTGCAGTTGATGTTAAAATGATAGAAATTATAACATGTTGGAAATAATCCAATGGGGGAGAAACTTGATACAAAAGGAAAAAGGGAGAATTGATGACGTGATGTCCTTAGGTAGGCAAGAGGAGGCATGGATAGCACTTAGGCAGTAACATGGCAAAGGGCGTGAGGCCTTAGAAAAGACACATTTCCAATGAAATATGATGCCCATTCTCCCCTGAGATTTACTAAACCAGTGCTTCCCAATTGCCTCAACAGGAAAATCACTGAGGGGAGGGGACGGCACTTTTACTTTAGATGCTACTATTATCAACTCAAATGAGTGGCTGTAAAAGTGCATTTTGTTACTAACTATTTATTGGTGGTACAAAAATAATCATTCATTCAACAACTATTTATTGGCCCACCATGTGCTAGTTCTAGGTATTATTCTACGTGCTGGGGACACAACAGTGAGCAAAATAATCACATCTAAAACATTTTTATTTGTTACATTATAAAGAGACCTGCACGCATTTATTTGTAACAAAAAACGTGTTTGGGGTTGCCTTGAATTGTCTCTTTATGCTTCGTAACAACCTTCATTTCTCTAAGATTGATAGGGTTTATTACCAATGGTGTCCCCAAGGCTAGTTTTCGAGTAGGTATTTAGGGCACTTTCTGTTATTTTCTTTGCCAGGTTTTACCCGGGAGCCCTTTCAAATATATTCAAGCGGTCTTGGAATTCGGTCACTGTTAGATACATTAACAGGATATCCCAACTGCCTTTTAAGAACTACTCAGTTTCTTTGTTAGTCTTTTAAAGGTTGCTTAAATGTAGTTATAGTCTCTCACAAAACCAACTTGAGATCATTATACTATTCAATTTCTCTTCCTTCAGTTTATAGAGTAAAAGGAGTTCTGCATATGGAAAACTAAGGAGTATAGAATTGCTGAGACTTCTTTTAGCTAAATTTATACACTTGAATTTTCTACCTTTTACTAAAGAACAGATTCCATCTTGCTGAACCTTTTAAAAAAGTGAACTGCCACTTTGAGCGCATTTATTTGTTTCAGTCTTTTCTGTGGCCTTCTTTTCAAGGTTTGTTTCTCTGATTTCCTGGTAGTATACTTATTTCATGGGAAACATTTCTTTTAGAGAAGCACAAAGCCTCTTCTAAAGTTCTCTCTGAAACTTTTCCTCATTCATGTTCTCTAGATTTCCTACCAGTTTAAAATTTTATTTTAGTTTTAGATATCCTATAGTCTGTTATACTTTATTTTAGAATACACTTATTTTCCAAAACATACTTGGTGTGTGTGCATGCACGCGCACGCACACACTCACACACAGATTTATTTTGTAAATTCTATGTTAGCCTTGCTTTCTTTGGAGCTTACTTCTTAAAGGTGTTTCAAAAGACTCATACTTGTTCTCACACAGCGTCAAATATTGTTTACTGTTCGTATACTGCATTTGTGAAGCATTTTATGCTTAGAGTAATAACTGTACTTCAGCCTTCTCTTCTTCATCTCTAAATATTTGTGTATCACAGAAGAACTAAATTATATTGTGTTCATTATTAGAAATCTGAAATACCACGGCCTAAAAATTTCCTCCCTGAAGCAATTACACACAGTAAAAAAGCCTGTTATAACATGGCTGGCCTGTAACATACGTTATTTCCCTCTTGCCCTATAAAGTCAACGATTTACTCCTAGTCCTTCCACTGGAGCCTTCCTACTGCTGTGTGCGAGGAGGTACAGGTGGGCCGAGATTTGTAGGAACTCAGGAGTACTATGCATGTGCCTATGTGTATGAAAAAGTTTATGTTCATGTCAATGAGATGTATTATGTGATTAAAGTGCTTTGCAAATCTGGAATCCAAATACTAAACAGGATAGGTAATGTTGACAGAACATACATTCCAAAACTAACACAAATACAGTAACTAAACTTAAAGCAAACAAGGTTTGCATAAAAGCAGCAGATGAAAATTTCCAAAACATCCATTTACAGATTTTTGCCCAAAAGTGAGTATAAACAGATTAAGAAAATTCCAAAGTTTAGAGAAATTAGAAATTATTTTAGGAAAACTGTAATGGACTCTAACATGAAGAGTTTTAAAGTATATTTTAAAGTAAGTTTTTTATGCCTCTAAAAAGAATATTTTACAGAAAATAGGCATATTGCCATTAAAGCAGAGAAATGAACCTTGAAAAAAGGCCACTGAAAACGCTTATATGACTTCCGTGGGTAAGTTACTTAACTGCTCTGTGCTTCCATTTACTCTTAGAAACCTGTGAAATAATGCCCTTAGTGGGCACACAGGAAGCACTCAATAAATGTTAGCTATTGTTTTGTGACTTTGTCTCCCCTTTGGTAAGTCAGGAAGTTTCCCTTTTCCTCAAATATGAGAAGATATTCCAGAACCTCTGGAAAGTATTTTGGTATTAGGAGCTGCTCTGAAGCATTGGCTGGAAGAGATGAAGAGACTTACTACTGCTTTAAGCAAACAGATGGTGTTGACAGCTCTGGCCAAACTTAAGGGCTCCACCAGGAAGGAAAGAGTTCTGATGTCAGCGACTTTGGAACTTGAGTATGTTTTTCTCATTTTAGTTTAGTGGCAAAATAACTGGGTCTTATGCAACGAAATAACTTAGCTGGCCAGCAGTACTCACACCCCGGTGCCAATTCCCATACCAGGAAGCCTTGAGACCAAGGCTGGGCTTTAGCAACGTCTCCCACTACATCCCAGAGTGGAAGAAAGCCAGCCATACCCTCCAAAGGCTGCAGCCCAAATTTTAAGTGGAAACAAAAATCTTTTTGTTACGAATGAGGTCGGAGCTTTTTTGTTGCTTGTGGAGAGCTAAATATTGGTGGAGAAAAGGCAGCCTGTTCAGAAGCAAGGCTAGATGCTTCAGCCGGTGGGCACCTCTTTCCGAACCCCTTCCTCTCCTCTCGATTACTTTCTGCGACATAACCCCAGGCCACTACTTTCTTTTTCTAAATACTTTCTCTGCCAAGGCCTTGAGTTCACTTTTTGGAAAGTGGTTACAAATAAAGGGCGCTGCACCACTAGCTAGAGGTTCCTCCAGCCAAACAGCAGCCAAGGAAACTGTCAGGGCGCTGTGAACCGCACTACGCAAGGACAATGAAAACTGCCAGCGATTGGTGGTTGCCAGAGGGGGGTGGGCGGGAGAAATGGGTGAAGGTACAAACTTCCAGCTATAAAATAAATAAGTCCTTGAGATGTAATGTACAGCTTGGTTACAACAGTTAATAACACTGTTTTGTATATTTGAAAGTTGCTAAGAGAGTAGATCTTAGAAGTTCTCAACATGAGAAAAAAAAATTATAACTATGTGAGGTGACGGATGTAAACTAGACTTATTGTGACATTTCGCTATATATATATATACAGAATCACGTTATACACCTGAAACTAATATAATGTTATATGTCAATTAATTATACCTCAGAGAAGAAAAAACGCCACGGACTGACCCCTCCCGCCGCGCCAGCCTCAGCCCAGAGCAAGCAGGCCCGGAGCGGGCTCGTCGCCGGCCGCCTGCGGGCATTTCCTGCCCGGAGTTCCCGGCAGCGGCCAACAGGAGGCCTCGCAAGCGAACTTTCGCGAGTCGACAGCCACAAAAACACGCTGGGCTCAAGACTGACCAATGACCAGGCAGGGCAGCGAAACACCCTCTGGAGTCCTGGCAGCTTCTCGGGCTCGACTGAGTCTAACGCTCTAGGAGGAGTGAATCCAGATGCTGATGCCCCAGCTTCCGACTGACCAGCCCCTCCACTCAGGCTGACGATGAGACAAGAAGAGGCAGATTCTCGCCCCTCCATTTCCCCCCGATTGCCTCGCTCTCCTAATCTACAATTCTCCTAACTTGAAGCAAGTCCAACGAAAGGCCTCGCCTAGGAGAGTCTCCGCGCCCCTGACTGCGCAGGCTCGGCCCACAGGGGGCGACTCTCCGGCGCTAGTGGCCTGCGGGCCGCACGGCGCTCTGGCACCTCCCCTGCGTCCAAGCCACTCGCAGCAGAGTTAAGCAGGTGGAGCCGCGCCCGCTCCGCGCCGCTGTGCCCAGCCGCCCCCCGTAACGCGCCTCAC